TATAATATCCTGACGAATCAAAAATCCAATAAGTCAAATTTCTAAAAAAATTTTTATTAGATTTATATTAATTAGGTTATTTAATTTCTTATTTAATAATAAAATTTTATTTGCTGATCAACCTTAAATTCTATTTTATATATACCTATATATTATATATTTTATTTTCAATTCATTGTTAATTTTTCTAAATTCTCATATATACTATAATATACACTTTATTTTATTTATTTTTTACTTTTATTTTATATTATATATATTTAAAGTTAGTCAATGTTCTATTTTTATAATTTGTGATTTAGTATGATATAGTATTTAACTTTAATAAGTAATTTTGAATAATATAAACTTATATAATATATAAAATTTGAATTAATAAATATTAAATAGCATAAGCTAATTTTTTATCACATGTATATGATTTGATAAAGTAGATAATCATTCCTTTATTAATATATTTATAAATAAATAAAGTGCTTTAATATAGTTATAATATAAAATGCATATAATTACTGTATATAATGAAAACTTTATATTTTTACTTTTTCATTTTTTAATCATAAAAATATATTAGAAATAAAAAACTATAAAATATGTGATATTATTTCATCTTAAAAAAAAAATGATAAAATAAATGTTTGAGGCTATTTAATAGTAAAAGAATGAACAAGAAAGAATATATATTATTAATATTGCAAGAAAATAAAATTAGATAATTGTAAGAGTTATGTAATAATAATTTTTCACAATGGGTCTCATTATCTTAAAAATTTATTGAACATAATTACTTACCTTAGCCTAATAATTACAAAAACTATTGATTAAATCAAAAAAAGTTTGTATAATAAGAGACAAACCTATACAGATTATTCAAGACATTATAGTTAATATATCATAAGATTATTATCTCTATATGCCATCTTTTAATACTCTTTATTTAAGAATTAAACATGTTAAAAGAGTAGAAATGCCAGCTTAACCACAATCTATTAAAGAAGTTAATATTCTAGATTTATTTTATTTAAATTTAAATAATAATCTTTTCTTAATAAGAGACTGTAAAATTAGTGATAATCAGATTTTATTATTTGCTGCACAAGCAAATATCAATGTTTATCTCAAGCTTCATTTTGGCTGATGGACAGTACTTTCAAAACTTTTTAACAGTATTTCATCAATTATATACCATCTATATACCTATTAGAGTTAAAAATTCAAGAATTCTTCCTCTTGTTTATTCATTAATAACAAGTAAATCAGAAGAAATCTACAAAAGTTTGTTTGAAAAATTGATCAACTTTGTAGTAGAAAATGATCTTATCTTACAACCTATAATTATTGTAACTGATTTTGAATTAGCATCAATTAATACATCCTATTATATATTCCTTAATATTGAAAATAAAGAATGTTTTTTTATTTAGGATCATCTGGATGGCAAAAATTCAATTATACAAATTTGCTACTAGATATAACAATAATAAGAAATTTAGTCTAATATTACGACATTTTTTTTGTATTGGCTTTTTTACCTTTATAGGAAATTTCAGAAATATTTGATGTATTAAAGCTTGAAATGCCTTCAAAAGCTAATGAAATTATTTAATAGTTTGAAAACAATTATGTTTATAGAAGAATACATTGCTATCTTTAAAATAAAACTGTTATTCATTCAGCCCCTTTATTTCTACTACAGTTGTGATCAATATATAATTTAAATGAAATGAAAATTCTATAAACATAGAATAATTTTGAAACTTGGTATTGGTATTAGAAAATTTTGGTTGAACAAAATTATATAAGTATTTATAGGATGATCAAAGAATTACAGAAGGAACAATAGAATGTAGAACTTTAAGTTAAAGTATTATTTGAGATGAGCAATGACCAGTAAAAAAACCTTAATTAAAAGGAAAATAAGAATAATGATAATAGTTAATGTATTTTATTTATGAGAATTATAATAAATAAAATATTTTTTAGCCCATTTTGCAAATAAAAAATTAACAAGATAATTAATACTTATATATAATAAAATTAAAGAAGAAATAAGATTGATTAGCAACAGTTTATTTATTAATTAATACACACAATACATTTGTATGATTTAGCTCTAACTATCTAAACTAATTTAATTAACTATTTAAGATATGTTATTAATATTATAAATAAAAAACTATATATTCAAAAAAAATCTATCTACCTGTTTAATACTCAAAAAAATCCTGAAACTTAATTTCAAGCAACATGAAAGATTAAAGTGAGCCTATTTTTAGAATATTATATCTATCAGAATTTTGATTTGTTAGGATTTTGTATCTGTCAGGATTTTGAACTTATTGGAATTTTAGATTTTAGAATTTTGAGTTTTGGGATTTTAGCCTGTTAAGAATTTGAGTTTAAGAATTTTGAATGATACCCTTTGATCCACACTAGTAGCATATAAAATTTTATTTCTTATTTAACAAGAATAATAAATTACTTCTATTGATCTTGAGTATTTGATTCTTTTATGTATATATAACTGATTATATAAAGAATGAGAAGTAGATACTAATGAATTTTCACATATATAAGGTCAAGTTTAAATAACTATCTTATAGAAAGTAATCTCTTTATTTATTAATTTTATATTACTAAAAATATCGTAATTTTTCACAATAATTATATTCTACAATATCACGAATCTTTGTATTAATATACATACTTATAGATTTATACTCTGTATAATTTTAAGTACTAATTAAAGATGGTCTAAAATTTTTCTGTAGTTACAATTTCATATAATGAATCAAAACTATTATAATGATCATTTTTTTCTATTGTTAAATATAAAAAAAAAAATTTAATGGATTTATAAGAATATAATTTATAAATTTATAAAAAAATACTATTTGATTTTATTAGGTCCAATAAAAAATATAACAAATCAAAATATTTAATGTTAATTTGATAGGTTTACAAATATTATAAGATAGATTCTTGCATTTCTTAATTTATTAAATAATATTAATAATGTTAATATAATATAATTTTCATATAGATAGAAAATAAAATTTATATAATTAGTAATTCGTCAAAATTGTGTTATTAGTCATAAACATTTTTGCCTATGTGATTTTCTAACTGGTGACAAATATTATGTGATAAATAAGACTTCACATACTCCAAAAAATTTAAGTTTCCTGAATAAATAGTAAAAAATGAAATACAGCAAGTGTAACACCAGTGACAAATATTTTATGATCATGTGATAGAAGTAGTTATCATTAGTTATAACTGTCACATTATGTAATAAATTAATTATTTTTTTTAAAGTATTATTATTAGTCTGCAGTTCTAATAACTAAAATGTTTTGTGAAAGTATATTATTACTCTTTTGAAATTATACTGATAATTTGTATTTTTAGAATTTTTTTAAATAATTCATAAATGAAATTCTAAGAAAATGAGATGAATTATAAAACCAAAATGTTCTACAACAAGATTGAAGATACTAAAAATGAATAAAAAAATAAGCGTTGGTCAGTATATGTTACTAACATGGTGTTTATTTTTATTTTATTATTTGAAGTCCTTAAATAAGTATAACATCAATCAAAAATTTAAAATTAGATTTTAGAAATGATCAACATAAAATTTGAAAATGATAAAATAATCGATATTATTATTTAAAACAGTTTTGAATCCTTTTAAAATTAAAGTTTTAAAATATTAAATATAAAACCATTATTAATTGTTTGAATAGGTATTTAAATGAAGGGTTTGGGTATTTATACACTCCAGTAGAAAATTTTTTATTAAAAAATATACTTTTTTTTAAAAAAATAAATATTAAAAATAAAATTAATTTTTCTTTTTAAACTTTAAAGTTGCTAAAAAAAGAATTTTCATTAAATATCATTTAATAATTTTTGTAATAAAAATATTCTTTTTCTAAATAAATTAGTGTAACAATATCTTGTAAAGGTGATTTTAATATAAATAATAAATCTTGCTAATTATAATAAAAATACTGAAAATATCATTATTTGAAATATTCAAAGTTTTGTTAGCTAAGAAAATTTCAAGTTTTGTGATTTTTTTTGATCATGTTTAGCAGAAATAAAATCATTTTTTAGCTTTTGACCATGCTTGACAGGAGTTTTAATAGCTATTTTTTGATATACTTGTTGATTTGTAATTTTAGAAGATATAAAAAGAAGAGTTTTTAAATAAATATAAAATATTTAATTATTACAACTTTTAAAATATAATTACTTTTTATATATAATTTGACTTTTATAATATAGCTTATTATTAGAACAATATTATTTATATTGTTTTTGTTATTTATGTATATAAATAAACTTTATTAATAATAAAATAGTTTAATTCATTTTTATTTATAGTAATTTATTAAAATAGTATTATTTGTTTTAAAAATTTAATACAAATAAGGTTAGTTTAAAAAAATTTTTTGTATAACAATAGATTAAACAATAACAATAGTAAATGAATTATAGAAAAATATTATATCATATATGTAATTAAAAATACTATAAATGTAAATTTTATATAAATAAATAAAAAATAAAAAGACTAATTTAACAATAAAATAAATTTTTTTTTACTTTTTTTTAAAAAAATTGTATTGTTTAACTTTATTTATTTGATAAAAATATTTAAACTTTCATCTTCAATAAATTTAATTTTTTTTACTTGTATCATAACCAAATTAATAAACAAATTTATTATCATTGTCTTTATTTTAATGTCATTCTGTTCATCCTTAATAAAATGTTTTGAAATAATTATATTCCTTTTAATAAAGAATGAAATTATATTAGGCAATGATATAAGATCTTTAAAACTATTTGTAACTATCTTTAAATATTGAAATGAATAGTATTATAGATATTGATAATTATCTTTATAATACATATTAATTCTCTTCTAGAAATATTTAAATTATAGAAATAATAATATAGATGAAACTAGTAATGATTATATTAATGAAATGGATATTTATAATGAAGAAAATATAAGTAGTGAAGAAATAAATAGGAAAGAATCATATGAAAGAGAGGAATTATATGACAAAGTAGTAATGTGTGAAGAAATAATAAGTAAAAAAGATTCTAATAAAGAAATAGAAAGTGAAGAGAAAATAAATGATGAAATAATTATTAATAAAGCTTTTAGTTATAATTAAATGCTACGATCAATAAATTTAGATTATGTATCCTATTTTAATAATATCACTGAAGCTCTATTTTTGTTGGATACAAAAACAAAATATATGTATGTTAATCATTTTTAGTGATCTTAAAATAATAATTTAATTTATATTAGTTTTTACTAGCAACCCAAGCTTATAATGAACTAGTGAATATAATTTATCATCCACAATTCTGAAATGAGAATAATGTATCAAATTGTCAATAATTTAGAAAATACAGGCAAAGGAAACTATTAATTTCAATCAAATTTCACAAAATTCACATCTCTAGCAAAAAAACACCATTCATATTTAAAAATATTAGAGAAGCATATTATTTATCTATCTCTGATATTATTTGGTATATTTTAGATAATTCTTTATTATTTAATAAAGTGTATTTTAGATCAGGACAAGAAGTCATAAGAAATCAAGAACTATGGCATAGAAATATTTAGAAAGAATCATTGAGATTTGGACAAGCTTCTATTATAATTAACTAAATTAGTTAAAATATTAAAGTATTCTTTAATAAATTATTTGCTAAATTTTCTTTTATAGAGATATACTATTCTAGGAATTTTGTGATCTATAGATCTAATGATTCTTTAAAAAAAATCAGTCATATATTAGTAATTGTTTAGCAAGACAACTAACTAAAAATTAGGATGCAGTATATTTTAAGATATGAAGTGTTGCTAAAGAATCTGCAAAGTAATATTTAAAAGGAAAGATCATATGAAGGTGAAGTCTGGTTTCTTAACTAAGAAATGAATAATGTAATTGTAATCGTTAAATTGTAATTAATTATTAAACATATACTAATTGATATTCTTTATAATAATATTAGTAGTAAAAATTTAATTAAGATTTATGAGATCCTTTATAAACATAATGGATGCTGAAAATTAAGAGGAGTCAAATATTCCTATTAGCATTCTTCAAAATTTGCTGCATTTACTATATTAGTAACAAATCTTCTGATTTATAAGTTATATATTAATTATTATTATGATAATTTTGAAACATTTCAAAATGTCTATCATTCATTAAGCGAAATTTACATCCAATTTGGTAATATGTTATTTCTAAAAAAAAATATCTCAAGAATTATTTTATACTCAGTTTTGTTTTATTCAGTAGCTGTTTTGTTGAGTTTATCAAACCTTTTATTAAAAAAATGAAAGTATTGAAGAATGGAAAGATCTTGAAAATTCATGAAACTGAATACTTTGTAATTATAAGTCTAGGTAATATTACAGTTGACTTATCACAAGAAAATGACTTAATTAAAATTAAGAGGTATAGTACTAATAGGAGATGTTATACTTGCAATTTGACAAAGAATTCTCTAACATTTAATGATCTTGATTTACCATTGATTTTTTGCTATCATCATTAAATGAATAAATAATTTAATTATTTATTTGTGATATTTATATTAACAGAATGTAAAGAAATTGCTATAAACTATAGAATACACTTATAACCCTCAATACTTAATCAATTGCAATAGAAAAAACATTTACAATTACTACAAGATATTTACTATGCAACTGCTTGAAAAGTTTTAAGATTTTTTAAAATAACTATTGATGCATTTTCACCAGAAGGAAAATTAGTATTTATTATAAATTGAAAGACTTTTGAGTATATAAAAGATTGGCATAAATTATCAAATCTAATTTCTCACATTGATAGCTTTATGATAGCAGATTATTTTCAATTAACAATGATGTTTCTATTTATTTTAAATAGATTTCTAAAGCCTCAACATTTTAAAAATCAGAAATTAATAAGATTCAATAATGAACAAGTATTATTTATAATTATTTGGTAATAAAATATTAGATAAAATGTCATTAATAACAAAAGTAATGATATTTACATTTAAGTCTTCTTTTACAAAAGATGACTATATTAAATTATGTGAATATTTAGATGAATAGAAGTATTTATTACAGGGTATTATGAATTAATTTTATTAAAATTTCATATATGCTACAGATTATATACTTTATAAAATTTATACTAATTTATTTAATTCTTAAGCATTTAAGAATTTTGAAAATTTACCTAACCTACATATCAATTTTCACCTAATGCAATATGCAAAAAATTATGTGATATTGTTAAACATTAGTATTAGAACAAAAGAGATGATTCATCAGATATACAAACATGTTATACTATAAACAAATCTTAAAAATATAAAGTTAGATCTATTGAAATACTATATTACATTATTTGTAATATGTCATTTATTGGATAGCAGTATAAATTTACACTTTTTCTCTTTAAATATTAGTTTATGAATCTCTCATAACAGTTGCAGCATATAATGAATAACTGATTTATCACAAAAGATAAAATTATTATTGAGAATAATATAAACAAAGGTAAATATGAAAATATAATTGTATTTTTATTAAAATTTATTAATGATTATTATCTATTTATATTTTTAAAGTTGATTCTCCAGTTGAACACATTTTAATATTATTTCTAAAAATGGATTCTTCAAAGAAATGTCAAAGCATCACTTTTGTTAAATTTTTAAGCAGAATTGATACTATCTTACGAAAATTTAGGTAATCATTTTGTAATACTAAATAATTTTTCATATTCATTGAGTATATAAGTTTTTATTAAAGAATATGATAATAGTATTCAATATTATTTATATATTAGAGATGTTGTCTCAATTAATATAGAATTTAGAGATAATTTTGCAATTATACAGGTGATATTTTATTATCAGAAGAATAATCATAATTTTACATTTATAATAGTTAATTAGTTTGAAGATATCAATCGAATAAAATTAGGCTGCCTAATATATAGATTACAAATAATAAATAATTGGTAAAAAATATTTTCAATTAGTGTGATTGATGTAGTTAATACTTTATATTTTATTCATAATTATAAGGGTGATGAATGTATTAAAGAAAATTATGATTTTAGAAATAATTTATATTTAAGAAATTTATATTATTTTAAGGTTGTTTAATATTAGTTACTAATATTTTACAATTTCAAAAATAAATTTTAATACAATTTTATTAATTCTAACAATAAAATTTTAATATAAATTTAATAATTCTTTATAACTTCAAAAATAAAATTTAATATAATTTTATTAATTCTGAAAATAAAACTTTAATACAAGTTTAATAATTCTTTACAATTTCAAAAATAGGATTTACAATTTTTCTTAATATTAATAACTGGGTGTGGATAAATTTATTAGTGAATTATTAACTAATTTTAAATAAATTATAATTAAATATTAATAATTAGTACATAATTTGGTCACTATTTGATTTTAAAATTAAATATTTCTGCAAAGTAATTATAAATATAATAAATTTATTATATATAAAAAAATTAATTTAATTATAATTTAAAAAATACTATTATTTATATATAATTTATATAATATTTAATTATAAGTTTATTTTTTATTTTTATATATATAGAATATTTTATATTATAATTGCTTCTTATTTAGAAATATATTTGATAAAAAAATCAGAAATAAACAAATCTATTTTTATTAAAATATATTTTTATTTTTAAAAATTTAATTTAAAATTTAATTCTTTATATGGGGGTTAAGCTATTAAAATCACCTTACGGGATAAGAAATTGATTTTGAGTAAATAATGATTAAAAAAATACTACGTCACAATAAACATTTTCAACCAATAATAAATTGTTCTATTTTTAAATATTAAGTCGAATTAATTATTAAGAC